CGCCCCCTCCCCCGGCCCCTGCTCCATCAACCCCTCCCCCTCCCCCTCCCCCTCTCCCGGGCCCTGTGCCATCACCTCTGCCGTTACCGTCGCCTCTATCATCGCCTCTGTCATCACCGTCACCTCTATCATCGCCCGTGGATGCATGTGTTCCCGACGCAAAGAAATTGTCGTCATCGCTAGATGTGGTGTCGAACAAGAAGTCACCCTCGTCCCAACGCATGCGGGCCCTGCGAATGCAACCATCCGTCCGCTGTCGCCGAGTCCGAGGAGCGGAACCCGCATCGTCACGTGTCCGTCCTCCGACACCTGCTCGTCCACGGCCGCCACGTCCCCGACCACCGGTCTTGCGTCGCCGCCTGTCCGACTCCGCTACCTGACGCTCGGCTCCCATGCGGGAAACGGCGCGCATCCTCTCTCTGGCGATGCTCAACTCCTCCTCGGTCACGCTGGCCAGCGCACCGGTGTCTCTGACGAACTGCTGGTCCACGACCGCCTCGTCCTCCACGGCCTGCCAATAATACACCCATTTCCCGAAGACACCGGGCCTCTCCCCAACACCGTCGTTTCACTCTCAAGGGAATAGGGCTCCGGAGAATCGAAGGGTCAAATGGATGCCACTAGAGGCGCCAATCAGAGTTTTGGGAGTTGTTCTCACAGCTAGGGAAAAGCCAATCTCTAATGATGTATGGATCCCTTCCTCAGCAGTACAAAAAATGAAGCAATGGAAAAACCAACATACTTCCCTGCTTGGTAGGTCATTGGTCATTAACAATGTAATCTTGGCTTTAATTTGGTACAAGTCTGCTTTGTGGTCAGTAAACAAAGGTCCGGTCAAGGAGCTCCGGGGACAGCTCACGATCTTTCTATGGTGAGGAGATCACGAAACGCCTCATGTAATCCCAGAGTGGCATGGCTGGTTCTTATACAACCAAAGTCCAAAGGAGGATTTGGCATTTTGGACCCTACGATCCACTGTCAAGCACTAACAATTCAATGGTTAAAATGGCTAACATCGGTCACAGATCTTCCATGGCAAGCATTGACACTAAAACAAATACGTAAAATGGCTCCACAAACCACAAAAGACGTATTTGGGTAGAGAACATGTATTGGACTATTCCTCGGTCTCAAGCACACTCTCAACAGAATGGGGAAGGGGGGGAAGTAAGAAAGGATCTGGTTTTGGATAGTTTCTGGGCTACCCTATTGAAAACTTTGTGTAAACTTTTGCCTAACAAATTGCCCCCTTCCAGGTATGAGGAAGTTCTACGAAACCAATTTTTGGCAATAGGTGGATCACCGACGCGCAAGGAAGGGTGTTAATAAGTTTCACCCCCCCATGGTCCACTTGGGATACGACGTGATAAGGATCAAGGATTTGTGGAACACGGAAAGCAAAAGTTGGAAATCTGTAAATCGGTTAAGAAAGGGAGTTAAGTACGCACGTAGTTTAGTAGAGAATCTTGATCTAATCACTTCGTCCATTTCGTTGCCGTGGGTGGCTGCCTTAAAAAAGGGTCCTACTTTTTTGGTTGCAGATTGGGTGTGTGCTCATCTAACGGAGAGTTCCAAGGTAGTGGGGCAAATACTAGATATTCATACGGATGGTACCCTAGTAAATCTCCTTGCACTTCACAATGACTTTTCCCTTTCACAAAGCAACCACGATAAGGTGGTGTTCTTCCATTGTGACTCACTCTATAGAGTGAGGACATTGTATTGTTCAGTCTCCAAATGATGGACTGTGGACCCAGCAGAGTGGATTTGACGTACCAACAGGGGATACAAAACTTGAAAATTATAGGCTTTATCAGTTAAAGTTTCGTATCGTCTGTTACGCCCACAGGTAGATGTTCTTGTTGTTATACAGGAATGATGGGCTCAACATTTAAATATTTATACGGATCTGCTCAGACCGATTAAGTGGTGCCAGGGATTCAAGGAGAGACCTGCTAAGTTTGCGTCACTACAGTGGCAGATTGTTCATCGTTGCGTACCAACTAATGACTGGCTGATTGACCATTCCACGTTGGATCAGAAGGGTGTAGCCCTACTGTGGTGTTGTGCTTGTGTGGAGGCCTTCCCTAGTAGGAAGATAAGGGAAACAATTGAACACATATTTTTGCAATGTCCGGGGGCAAAATTGTTGTGGAGGCGCTGGGATTATGTATGGAGTAAATTGACAGTGTAGATTGGCCTTGGGACTGGAGGGCGATCCTCCTGGGTCACGGATGCCCTGCCCTGATCTCCTTATCAACTTTTCAATAGAATCTATTTAACTTTGGTAGAAAAATTATTTTATGGGTTTTATGGTATAGAAGGTGTGTGTTTACGATGGAAAAGTGAAGGATTGAGGGCAGAGAAATGTCTGAGCTGGTACAACAGTTCATAGAAACAAAAATAAGGTCTCAATGGGATAAGACTAAATCTGGGCTTCAAACGCTACAACAAAAAAAGATATTAAGAAACACATACAAAATTTCACAAAGAACGGGCTGGGTGATTCTTCAAGAAGGAAAATGGGGAATGTGGAGTGGCCAGGTGGGGAAGAAGAAGAGATGAACTTCAAGAGGGGTTATCAGATCACCTTCCAGAACTGGTTTGATATCCAGCCAGGAGCCACATTGAGGTCTCCAGAATCCTTTCCGGATCCCTTTCCCCCTTCTCAGCTTGCTTTGGTAGATCTTCATTAGTATGGGGGGGGGGGGGGGGTAACAAGTTTTTTTATCTTCATTTTGTCTGTTAAAATTTGTTAGTCTAGGGGGTCAAATTGTCAGCAAACACTTGATGTCAGAATAGGCATGATGGGATGAATGGGTATCTGGGGATAGACAGGAGGTTGTGCTGCTAGCATTAGCATAGTCATCTGCCAGCCAAATTTTGGATGAGGGGGCAGCTCTCCTTCTGTCACACCTCTCCTTGAACAATGGTTTAATAACATTTGTATGAGGGACGCTGGACCCGGTTTCCAGCAACATATGTATGAGGGACACTGGACCCGGTTTCCAGCAACATATGTATGAGGGACGCTGGAACCGGTTTCCAGCAAGTGCAGCTCCCCACCAATATAATGGAGCCGGTGGCCGGGCTGCTAGTGGTGGATGTTCTTATCATCATCACTAGCAACCACGGGCGGGTGGATTGCCCCTCTCGGCTGACCAGGATGGCGCGGCGCAGGCCCCACCATTAGAATGGAGCCGGTGGTCGGGCTGCTAGTGGTGGATGTTCTTATCATCATCACTACCAACCACGGGCGGGTGGATTGCCCCTCTCGGCTGGCCAGGATGGTGCAGCGCAGGGCGCCACGACGCTGGGAAGCACGGCGTGAGCGGGCGGACGCTGGGTGAGAGCGGGTGGTCGTTGGGCTTGTGCTCGGCAACCAGCATGAGAGTTGGGCGTCCGCTGTGCGACTACTGAGCGAGCGCCGGCGCGAGCGCTGGCTATCGCGCAAGTGCTGTGCGTGAGCACGGGCTATGGTGCTTCTTTTTTCAGTACACTTCACTGACTTCAGCGCTTAGCGTACGCGCGGGGACTGGAGGCGCTTGATTGAGCCACGCCACAGGCTGACGTGGCAGACGGTCTGGCTCGTGGATCTACTGCGAGTTCCACATTGAAGCTCCATTGCCGCAGCTGCGTTCTTGCACGTGGCATAGTGCCTTGGCGGTGTTGGCTACGTCGACGTCGGTGGAGTAGGGTGGAGTTAGCCCTTGGTTAACCAAAGTGTGAGGATTATTGTATGATTAGAGTGAGTGGGGAAGGACCATCAGGGAGCTATCTGTCAGCATCATCACAGCGCCGACCATCATCTTGAACGGGGAGGTTTCCATTCATCATCAGGGGAGCTGTTTTTCATCGGAGAGATTCAGAGTGTTGTTTGTCTTCTTTTTTGTCTTTTCTTTGCAGGATGTTTATCAGCCTTGCCACTGGGTCGGCATCATCTCCATCAGCATTGCCGCTGGGTCGGCCTTTTGTCAGCGTTGGATCATCACTACCATTATCATCTCACTGCTGGTTGGCAGTTCGTCATTATCGTCATTATTCTTGTCATCATCAAGCCACGGTGACGTTATCATCCTCTTCATCTTCGACGGCATCCGGCTGCTTTCATACAGCTGCTTGGTTCATAATCATCGTCATCATCATCACTACGCTATTATGCGCTCTAGCACAATGGCGTAGTTTCTTGTTAAAAAAAAAAGAAATCTTAGCGCACTGCGCCGCTGTCATCAACGCGCCATTCCACGGCGTCGTAAATTCAAACGATCGGAACGGCGCTTCTCGCCATTTTTCACGTTGCTTGTTATCCATGTTGCTTGTATTTACCTTTTGGGTGCGGCTGGTCTTCATCATTACCGCACTGTTCCTTCTCATTGACACGATCATCAGCTTCTTCATAGTAAGGGGCTTCTCGCCATCATCATCATCAAGCTTTTATTCATCATGATCTTCATCAATATCTTCTTTCCTGACTGTCTTCTTTTCTTGCTCTTTCCATCATCATTTCTCTTCCTCCTCCTAGCGGGTTAATTAATTTTTACATGGAATCTTGAAGGTTAGTAAGGAGAGCTTTACTCTGCAGGGGCTTCACAAGGTGGGGGATGAACGCCCTATAGGGAGGAAGAGCAGACTATGTGGAATGCTCGAGTGTGGGGCTGGGAGAGAATACAACCCTCGACTGGGACCATCCACATTAGACTCTGAGATTTACGAATCCCGTAGGCGTCGTGTATCGAGCAACAAGATACCCATTGTGTCCCTCCAGTACACCACATAGCGACCCATCGTAGGCGCCAAACCCGCCATCCCGAGTACCCGACCATGAAGGTCGCAAATTGAGAAAGCCCCTTCTCCGTCCGACCCCTTTACATTTTTGTCCTCGGAACCTTGACATAAGAGATCCCAGTTCCGACCTGGGGCTCCAACCAACTTTCTTAAGATCCTTGGCACACCCCCTTTTTCACAACTTTCGGGCCCCCTGTCTGCCCGAACACCCTTACAAGGGTATTTGTGCACATTTTGCATCTCGCAGAAGATGCATTTTTGATGATATTTGAGAGAGTGTCCCTGTTCCAGGGCACGCACGAGTTTAGGTAAGGGTCTGGTTATGTAATGAGCTAATCGCATGAGCGACACCCGTGCTTGATAGCATGAGTGAGGGAAGGGGGTATGATGTTTGCTAAGTATCGTGCACACTCTGAGGGCATTCGTGTTGAGACTAGCGTTCAACGACAAATGTCAGGATTAGTCATTGGAACCGTTGACTTACCTGAGACAACCTCAGGATCAGCACTATGCGAAGTGCGTGAGTCCCTACGTTGATTGTGATTTGGCCAGCGGTAGCAGTCGTAGGCAGCCTTGGGATGGTCGGTGTGAGTAGGGTGTGATATAGATGGAAACCACATTTTCGAGATACTAGAAGGGTAAAGCTACGATGTTTGGAAGTAGGGACCGATTCGGGGAGCTAGCATCCTTGGCGGCAGTGCTACATGA